CGTAGGCGCAAAGGATCAGGTGAAGAAGCAACTGAACGACATCATGGAAGATCCGAAACACATCCCAGGTGGTAGAGCTGCCGTTGCAATGTACGTCACTCGCAAAATCTTCGTCGCTCTGGGTCAAATGTTCAACGGCGCACACGAGATCCAGAAATGGTTGGGCGTATGTGCCGAGAGGATCTCGACGGCCATCACAACGGAGCAAATGGACAGGATCGGCGAAACCCTGCAGACTCTCATGGAAGACCCCAAAACCTCGAAGGATCTTGAGAACCCCATCCAGGAGAAGAAGAGTAGGAAAGGAAAGAAGACATTGAAAGCAGTGAAAAGCGTCCACGACGTCAACGAGCAATTCCGCGCCTCCGTCGTCTGGACCACCCCACTCAAGATGCCAGTCACGCAGCCATACCGCGTCTCAACTACAAAGGAAATCACGACCGTCCTCCAACATCTCAGCATCCGCCAACCGCGCGGCAACGAAGCTGTCGATAAGCGCAAGCAACTCCAAGCCTTCCCCCCCAACTTCATCCACTCCCTCGATGCCACGCACATGCTCCTCTCCGCCATCAAGTGCAACGAAATCGGCCTCAACTTCGCTTCAGTCCACGACTCTTTCTGGACCCACGCCGCTGACGTTCCCGTTATGAACCGCATCCTCCGCGACGCCTTCGTCCGCATGCACTCCGAGGACATCATCGGCCGCCTGCACGAAGAGTTCTCGGCGCGCTACCAAGGCTGCCTGTACCAAACCGCGGTGCCAAGGAAGAGCCCGCTCGGCGAACAGATCGCCGAGCTTCGCGCTGCAAAAAGGAGGGCCGGTAATATGTCGTTGAATGAGATGCTGGAGGAGAGGGAGAGGCAGGTGTTGCTGAAGAGCGAGGATCCGGAACAGAGGGCCAAGGGCGAGGCTATGGTCACGCCTGCGAAACTGTACCTCCAGCACACTGACGTAAACCGCCTCGAGCTACCCGAGGATGCGAAGAACACGCTTCTGGGCGACCATCCCGCTGCGAAACCAAAGGCTTCTACCAGGAGGTCCAAGAGAGCCGCGATTACCAAGCCCGAAGACGATGACACCGCCGCCGCCGAGGCTGAGAACGGGGAGGACGAAGTCGATCCCAATCACCCTGTTGAGGACTCTCTTGGCGCGGATGAGGACGGCGCCGAAGACGTCAAGGACGTGCAGACGGAGGAGGAGACGCCGAAGAAGCAGAAGTGTCCGTCGTCCAAAAGCAGGTTGTTCATCTGGGTGCCTTTGACGTTCCCGCCTGTGCCGAAGAAGGGAGACTTTGATGTTCGGAGGTTGAAGGAGAGTCAGTACTTCTTCTCGTAAGTGGAAGGGTGGGTTTTTGCTTAGGTGTAGATGTACGACTACTACGCTTTGTTTCTCTTTTGCCGCATAGATTGGCGTTTCGGCAATGAGCGCTTGTTGCGAAGGTCCAGGGATAGTTCTTGGGTTCTTTCTTTGCGATGGCATTGGCATTGGGTGGAGTGGGTCCATCCCACAACTATGTATCTGTACAACAGCCGCGGTCTCTACGATATCTTTTGTAAAGGGTGGAAAAGCTTTATACCATATCTTCTGTCAAATACACAGGGATATATGCTATAGAAGTACGCCATTGGTATAGATTTGTACTATATTTCCTCAAGTCCTCCTGAAGCTCTATATTTCGAACCATGACTGTTAATACACATAGGCTGACTATATCGTGGGTAAGCAGAATATTGGGCATCGATATGAAAAAACTACTATGCGCGTAGACTAATTCACACGGATAGGTAATTATCACTATCACATCGATTGACTTGTTAACCACAGTAATGGTTATGTCTGAAAGGACAATCTATTCATCAAATCAAATAGCCATTTTAGTAACCCTTTCGTCTCTGAACCTTACTTCGTCCATCCAGGACTTTGAATATCCGCATCTCGATCCTGTCTCCTCAAAGCAACTCGCCGCCGATCAAGCCTCCTGCAACACCGCCGATCAAGACAATACTAATGTCCATCTGCAGTCCAACTACCAAACTCTATCATCCTTCACGTGCATGAAGCCAGCCTCCAGGAACTCAGTATTCCCATCTCGATCTCATCAAGCTTATTGGATCAATTCTGCAAAACCGGTGATCAAAGCAATGCCGAAGTCAATCTCTTGCTTGCAAGCCCGCCATCCATCTGCCGAGCTCTGCCGTCCCGTTCCAATCTATCTGCCGCGCATTCACGAACCTACCCATCTCCCTTCTTCCACCTGCATCGCGCATGGCGCACCTTCTCCCCCGCAGATCGCCAGCCGCCGCCGCAGTCAAACCCGCGCAAACGCCACCGTCACACCGCGCCTCACCGCATCGCGAAGTCGGTCGAGGGTGGGAAACTTTGCGCTTTCGCCATCCCGTCTCCCGCGTGCGGCATGGGCGGCTGATGCGGCTTTGAGTTCGGAATGGGCTGTTTGGGATGGGATGGGATGGTGGACACGGGATTGAGGGGAAGGCCATCGTGGGCGGCTGCAGTTGTGGCGGTTAACTCTGATCGCGCCACGCCACGCCACGCGATCGTGGTGATCTGCCGACTGCGGGGGAGGGGGTTATGGCGGGGGAGGGGGAGGGGCCGGTGATGGGTGGAGATGTGGGATGAGGTGGAGTAAACAAGTGGTGCAGGAATGAGATGGAGAAGAGAAAGCGAGCACTCAGGCACGGGATTGAAGAGGGAAAGGAAAGAGGAGGAGAGACAAGAGAGACACTGAACAGGCCCTGATGAATGGCTAAGTACCTTTGTACCTTTGTACCTTTGTACCTTTCCTGCCCCTTTCCCATTCCCCATCCCTCGAGTCTCTCATCCCATGTTTCCCTCCCCTTCCACCGCCTTGCAAACCCCCCTTCATCGACACCCACGTCAACCCCAGACCCAAAACCACAGCCATGGCGGCTCCTCCAAGAAGATCAACCGAACCGACCGACCGAACCAACCGAACCGCCCTCGCCGACTCGCGCCTCGACCAAAAGTAAAAGTCGTACGATTTCCACATGCCCAGTGCGCGCCTCTCCACCCCCTTGTCAACCCTCTCTCCGTCTCGCGAGCGCGCTGGCGATCCCACCGTTTACGATACACATCCCAGTCCCGAGCATTCCCCCTTCGTCCTGAGACCCTGAACTCAATCCGCACGAGTCCGGTTCGCCATGAGTCTCGAAGTATCTGACTCCGCGCGTGGGACTGAATCGGGACAGCAGGAAACGAAGCTTTAGATCCGGGCTCGCGGGTCTAGATTCGCCACGCGGTTAACGGCTATGGTTGCTTTCGTGCTAGCCGCCCAGGCACACACATACATCCAATGGCATATTACACGCTGCAGTGTCGCAGACCGGCCAGCCCAAGAAAGACTCAACTGTATCGTCTCGGCTGAGCCGAGTCCTACGGCTCCTGAACCTTCTGCATCTTCTGAAGTGAGCCCGACTTACTCGCCCCAAAAAAGGCTGAATAGTTTCGTATCGTGCTTCCCAGGAACTTCGCCCCGATGGAGCAATCCACGATTATTTTGAACCGGTCCGCCTGAAGAAGACTCGACTGTAACCGCGAATCTTCAGCATCTTCCAACGTGAGTCCGACTTACTCACCTAAAAAAGAGCTGAATAGTTCCGTATCGTGCTTCCTTCCCAGGAACTTCGCCACGGTGGAGTGATGATGCACGAAAACTTCCAACCAGCCCGCCCAAAAAAAAAAGACTCAACCACACCAACCTCAACCAGGCCCCTCATCCCCTGCATCTCCCTCCGCGACCCCTCTCACTCGCCCCAAACCGGCTGTGCAGTTCGGTGTCGTAGTTCCCCCATCCACGACCCCATCCCCCAGCCCGCCCGGAAACTCCTCAACCACATCGACTCGGCTGAGCCGACTCCCCTCCCACGGCTAACCCGAGTCCCCCGGTTCCTGTCACTCCCGACTCCTCTCCATCCAACGTACTGACTCCGCGCGCCCGACTTACTCGCCCAGAAAAGGGCTGGACGGGTTCGTGTCGTGGGGCCCGGGAATGTCGCCATGGTAGACGTATGTGTGATTATTTCCGGCCGGGCCGAGCGCACGCGCGTGAGGATCTAGGTGCTGGGTGGTGGGGGGTGGGGAGCTCGTCAGACGTCTTCTGATCCGGCGGATGGTTCTGGGTGACTGAGTTGCGTGCGGTGGGGTGGATGGGGATGGGGAGGGCGAGTCGGGTTGTGGAGGGAGTGGGCGCGAACTGCGTAGAATACCGGTTGATGGATTGATTAGCAGGTGTTGCGACGTGGCACTGGTGTAGAGCTCTGGTTGTGGCACAGAGGTACTGGTGATGGAGCCAAGGCAAACGCTGTGTGTGTAGATGTGTGGATGAGGTGTGGGAGCCTCTAACTAGCTGGCGGAGCTGTCTAGGTAACTTAGAGCTACCACGTGACTAGGTAACGTTAGCGTTAGGCTGACCTAGTACTATCCATCTACCCCCGATAATCGTCATCAGCGCTCCACGTAGCTCTGTCTCCGCATAGTTCACGATAGTGGCTTGGCTGTGCGAGTATCGCGCCGTCATGCAAAACAGGCTTGGAGGGAGCGAGGAGTGATAACTACGAAGAAGCCGAGATTCGAACTCGAGCTCTTTCTTACTTGGGTTGTTATAACGTTAAACACGCTTGTGCTCTTGAGCGAGCGACCTTCTGCGCTTCTAGGAAATGTGAACGAGTCGGTTTTTTGAACGCAGCAGTGCTGCTGGCCGGCTGGCCGTTTGGCAGACAGACAGACAGCTCGAAACCACCCCCAAGGGTGCATCTCCACACAAACCAGTCACGAGCACAGCTTCACTGTACACCTACTACACCACACCAACAACAATCCCAAGCGCCGCGATCGAACCCGCAGCTACGACGCAGCTTCAACGCATCATCATCCGCGAGCACCACACCCTCCCTCGTGCGAGGCCAAAACAACAGACCAAAACAACAGACCAAAACAACAGACCAAAAAAGAGGCACAAACACGTCGAAGCCGAGATTCGAACTCGGGATTTTCTGCGTTCAATCGGTAATCAGCTATGCTTGTGCCAGCTAATGCGAGGCATACCTAACACAAGCACAACTGATTAGAGAGGCAAGGGGCAGACGTGATGACCAGCTACACCACTTCGACCGATACGTTCCTAAGTGGCAGACGAGCAGTATAAACAAGTTGGACGGGAGGAGCGCGGGGAGAAAGCGGGGGCGCTGGATACTGTCGGCGGAGGTTGGATGTCGGATGTCGTTGGCTAACTCAACGTTATGCATGTGTGCGGGGAAACGTCCGGGGTGCGGATGGGTTGACAGGTTGACGGGAGATTACACACACGACCAACGTAGAAGACGGAACGGGAATCCAAATATGCACAATGCAGCCCAGATTACTGCCGGAGACGAAACTCGTGATCCGAGAGAGCGAGCAGCAAACCAGTACCCTACGTTAGCGCGTGAGAGGAGCATTTGGATATCCTCGAGCAGCGCGTCGAGATCAGGACACTGCTGTGTGGCAGCCGAGCGATTCGAATCACAGCGTTAGTACTTCGACTCCGCACGTATCCACAGCACCCGCGTACGCCTTTCCACCGCGTGATGGGGACTTGTGCTGTTGTCGCAGGGATTCGAGTATCTACTTGTCGTCGTCGGCGAGGAGGCAGAGCTATATATACGCGTCGAGGGATTGACGTGTGCCGGATCTGCATTATTTCTCGTCTAAGCTTGCCGGTTCATTAGCAGCTCTGGTATCTCTAGTCGATACGTCGAGCTGTTAAGCTTACTATACTTGCTACTTATCAACGCGCTGCTCGTTTAGTCGAGGAGTACCCGGATTGATGACGAGAGATTGACGGTATTGATTCATGTATGCCACCGTCCTCGCGAGTCTGCGAATAGAGCAGCCAGATCCGCGAAATCGTTGACGTCTGCCGCGACGCTCACCAATCTACGTTATGTCGTCTACGCTTATTACCCATCCATTGGCAGCTCTGGTGTCTCCGGTTGATGAGTCGAGCTGTCAACGCGCTATGCCGACTACTCATGAACGCGCTGCGCGTTTGATCGGCGAGCTGCCGAATTAATATGACGTGGGATTGTCAGGGTTGAATCAAGCATACCGCCGCCCTCGCGAATCTACAAACGGATCAGCTAGATCTGCGAAGACGTCGACGTATGCCGCAACACTCGCGAATCTGCGTTGTTTCTTCTTCCACGCTCCCAGTCTATCCATTGGCAGCTGTGGTATGTCTGGTTTGATGAGTCGAGCTGTCAAGCGTGCTATACTGACCACCAAAGAACGCGCTGCGCGTTTGATCGGCGAGCATTCGAATTAGTATGACGTGGGATTAACAGCGTTGATTCAAGCATACCGCCGTCCTCGCCAATCTGCAAACGGATCAGCTAGATCAGCGGAAATGTTAACGTATACCGTAATAGTCGCGAATCTGGGATGTTTTTCGTCAACACTCAGGGTCCGTTAGCAGCTATAGTATCTCGGGTTGATAACTACGAGCCATAAAGCGTACTGTACTTCTAACGAACGCGCTGTGCGTTTGGTTAGCGAGCATCCGAATTGATATGACGGGGGGATAGGCAGCGTTGATTCAAGCGCAGCACCGCCCTCGCGAATCTGGGGACAAAACAGCCAGATCCGCGAAAACGTTAACGTATGCCGCAACAGTCGCGAATCTGCGTCGTTGATTTCCCACGCCTACGGGTTGACGGGCACGTGAGGTTGGATCTCTGACTCGGAGTCTGACGCAGGACCATCGCTGGGAGACGAGACCTTATGACAACTGACGGCTCGCAGGATATCAGGACGTTTGATCTACAGGAAGCCGTTTGGATGGAGGCATTGACATACGCCGCAACACAACACTCGCGAAGCTGCGTTGTTTTCTTTCCCACGCCGACGGGCTCGAAGAGTGATGAGTGGTGAGAGTCTCACGACTGACTCAAGACTTCATGCGCGCCGTCGTCACTGTTCCCCTCGCCCACGCACTCAGAGTCAGTGTCTTGCAGCTGAAGCGTCATCGAAGCGCGATTTCAAAGCGGTCAGGGTCTCGGGCACGTGTCAGGAACGGGCAGCAAATCAGTGAGAAGAAGAGGTTTGGGTATGACGTCAAAAGGAAAGGCGATGATGGCAGTCCAGATGTGCGGTTCGATCATCATCAAAGTGGAGTTGATGGGAGTGGGAGGTAGGTGTAGCGACAACGTTGTAATATCGTTTCGTCTTGCCTGATCATCAAATAGGCTGAATGACCAGGTTTATCAGTGGGATGAGTGGGAGATGGCGACCAAGTACACGTACATGTACCGCGAACGTGGAAAAGGCTGCGTCTGCGGCTGTGAGAAGGGCGAGAGGATACACGCTTGTCTAGTACCTGCTGGTGCGGTGAGCAGTTTTATGATGAGGTATGCTCGCACACACGTGTCAAAAGGACCTCACCTCACTTTACCTCTCAATGTACCACTTGTGGCACTCACGCGCCAACCTACCAGTCGCAGCATCGTCAATGTCCTGAGTCGAGGCTTCAAGCCAGGCTTCGTGGCTCAGGGCGTATGTCATCGCCGCCTCGACGGTCAGACCCGACATTCCGGCGCCGGAGTGCGAGGGAGCAGGCGGAAGGCAGTGGAAGGAGGCGATCCAATGCGCAGAACGCTGAAGAGGTCGCTGGAGAAGGGGTCTGCTGGTCGGCGAGTACGTAGCGGACGTTTCGCGCACGTGGACCTGCTTCCGATCGAGAGGTTAAAAACGCTCCGAGTCGCCCAGTCGATTGGGGTGGCTGACTCGCGGTGAAAGCTGAAAGATGTGTCGTGGGCGTGTAGGTGATGGGTTTGTCAGCAGCACAGTTCGGCGACCAGATTCCGAGACGGGCAAGGAGGCGACGGAAGGATGTGAAGGGAGTGTCAAGCATCGTGGAAGGCTCTGGTGTGGCGCTGGAAAAAGAACACGAGTCGTGTTTAGCTTTCCGTGAGCCATACGTTGAGTTCGCTGCTGTCGTTCCAAGCAGTGACGGGTTCCAGAGGAAGTGTATTCTGATTGGACGCAGATACCAGGCATGCTGCTCTTTCAACATCCTGGCCTCCATCAAGTTCCCACGCATCTGGGGACAGAGGTTTCGAGGCGTCCAAATTCACTGATGGTGGGTCCTGTGATCCCGGCATAGTTTCTCTGCATGCCAGTGCGAGCTGCAATTGAGTTCATCAAGCTCGGTTTTGATCGTGAGGGCGACCACCTGGCATCTGATCAGCTGCATTGGCTGCAACAACCTGTCTGTCTGCGGGTCGGCTGCTCCCCGCATTGCTCCGCAAGTGCAGTGCTGCGGCGCTGCGAGGTGCGTCAGGAGCCTGATACTAGTCAGCTGGAGGTGCGAGAGGAGAGCGCGCTGCCAGACGTTGGGCGCTTGGGCCGACATTGTTGCGCTTCGGGCGACACGGGTTCCGGCGAGCATTCTGGAGGTTCAGCGTATCAAACGCGTCTTGCCACAGTGGTGCAAGGGACGAGAGTCAGCGGTGTGAGGGACCAGAGACGAGAAGCAGGTGATGGAATGCAGGCGAACGTCAGCCACAGAGAAGCACTGTCTGGAAGAGGGAATTGTCCACCAAGCGGACTACTCTTTAGCCCTCGCAGCACCGTTCCTCGCGCTAGTTCGCGGGCAAGACGGGCGACGACGGCAGAGAGAAGGCTGAAAAGCCTTTCCCGGGATTCCACGGCTCTTCAGGGTGACGGAAGCTGGCGTAACGGAAGCTAGATGGCGATGTAGATGGCGCCCGTCGGATGCGTCTCCGGCGGCCGCGACGGGGCGCGTCAGCACCAGGTGCGGGAAGGAGTTGCCGTGTACCGAACCATGTGCGCGATGTGTTCGGTCTGGCGCTCGGGATGCGCACACTAGGTTGACGCAATGGGTTGAGGTCATCGAGATGGAGGACGCGGATGGAGATGGAGAGGGAGATGGAGAGGGAGATGGAGATGGAGATGGAGATGGAGATGGAGATGGAGAGGTCGGATGAGTTCGTACGAGAAGCAGAGCTCGACTGCCGATTGCGGATTGCGTCTGCACCGTCCGCACTTCCCGCACTTCGACATCCCTTGGGCCGTGCACCATGTCCAGAAGCAGAGCTTGCTGAGTTGCCCGATGCGGACAGTGCTGCCAATTGTGCCTCTTGCGGGAGCTGCTCTCGCGCTACCAGAAGGCCAGTCGCCTCGACCATCAACAACGGCTCCCGCGCGTGGCGGTGCTTATGGCGGCGCCAACATCAAATCCAGGGACCATAGGGCGACGGAGTTCGCGCTGGTGCAATCGTTGGACATGGAACGGGTCCTGCATCATGGCTAGCGAGGCTGCTGTGATTCAGCCCGTTTGGCCGAGCCGTGTCTCGCTTTTGCATTGTTTGGTATGGGACATGGATGGCGCGGGAGCGCGGTCAGCTTCTCGGCGATGCATCGCGATATAGTCCCACGTGTGAAAGCATATGTGCGAGTGCTTGCATCCTTGCGCCCTCGTCGTCCCGGCCACGTGGAGGTCGCACTTCACATGCTTCTGGAAGGCCAAAAAGCGTTTCCAGCGACTTCGGGCAGTGGTTGGTTGATGCTGGGCGATGCTGGGAGGGCGGCGAGCTGGGCAATGCCGGCGGGGGGATCCAATGGCAGGTGGAGAGTCCAGCTTCTTCCCTGGGAGAGCTGGGGAGAGCTGGTGATCGCCTTGGCTGCTGCGCGCAAAAGCGTCGCCCTTTCTGCAGCTTCTGCAGGTGCTCCGGATGGTGCAGGCAACGCGATGCTGGGTTGGCACGAGGGGCAGAGCGCATTTTGACGTCTCTAGTGCCGCCTCAGACCGCCTGTTGCCGTGCAGGTTGGAGGGCAAGAGGGCGAGGAGGGCGAGCAGTGGCCCTCGGCGTTTCAGGCCTGCCGCAGCGGTTGCTGGCTCTGCTCTGATGACGAGCTTCAAGGTGACGAGGAGTTGAGGACATGTGAGGGCCATGAGGCGTCCACGCATCGACACACGACGCATCGACACACGACGCATCGCACCGGATCAAGGTGCATCGTTTCGGGCAGCGAGCGAGCCGGGACGCGAGATTGGGATGGCCTACGACGTCGAGGTGATCGGAAATGATGGTGGATGTTCGTGGACGGGATGG